GTAGATACTCCGGTGTCGTATCGAAAGTATCTTGCATTTGATCACTTTAGACAGCAGTAGATTTTGGGTTATCCACTGATTTAACAAACTTGGTCTCACTGAGGCAGTTTGTGATCGGCATCTGCTTGAATCCTGTGCGGTATGTTTACGTCGCGAGCAAAGAGTAGAAAACTTGACGCGATTGTCTGTGCGAGGTCATTAATATATACCAAACACAATCGTGACCCTAGAACTGGGTCATGAGGTACACCACATTCGACTTGTATGGGGTTAGAATGCATCTCCGGATTCTGACCATTAATTTTTGTTAAAGGAAAAAATTGGCGATCCAGCTCAAGAGTGGGTCATCCATACTTTTTATTACAGTTTGTGGACAGCGAAGAACCCGATCTCAGGAGTTACTAACGGACGTATAATGTATGTAGGCTGAGGACGTGCAAGCGATGTAGGATGCGATGGTACTAGCTTGCGATGTGAATGAGAATATGATCTGACCAAGCTTGATCCCGATGCTGTCTCAAAGGACTACAGCATAGCTATCGGTCGATTGGCCCAGAGTAATCCTTGAGCCACGGGATTGTTTGTGTCCATTTATGAACAACCACATTTTGTCCGCTGCTCGAGAGCTACTGATGGTGGCCGCTTGGTGGCAAAAGTTCGATACGATTGACCGGCATCTTGATTACTTGCTAGGTGACAGTAAGGTGGGAGAGCAGTCAAGTAATCGCTCAGTTCCCACACCTTGGCCTTGGTGGACTGCCAAGTGTGGACACCATCTTTCCCAAGCCTTAGTATGTATTTACTGGGATATAATTTTTCGCTGTAATGCAGACGGTTGGTGACTTCGGTCAGTGACGTGTCGCATCCACCATGTCGCAGGGTTGCTAGCAGACTGTACTCTATACGAAGGAAGATTGCAGTCATGAAGCCCACACGTGATGTGATGCTGCCATTGAAGTATTGGTCGAATGGGGATGATTTATAACCAATTAACTCTCAGCACAACCAGGTAGTTCGGCATGTCAGCTGCTGAACCACCAACATCCTCATAAGTTTACTTGTTTGCAGTCGAATATACTTGAAACTGGGGCAGTAGTTAAGTTAGTTCTGTAAAACAAAACCATTTATTTTTAGGAAGTCCGCCACTACTGGAAACAGTTACTATTGTGCGCGTAGATGATAGCTTCTGGGTCTGCCGAAATGCACATATGGCCAAACCAAACAACTCGGTTCATCTGATGACAGAGTGGATCGTAACATGTGGAAATTGACTGGAGTATTGGCAAATGGAATCACTGATTGTATGTGGAACACAAGTTTGCTCAGTGTACAATCACCACGGTTTCAGCCCGTAGCATCATGAGCTTGCGTGGCTGGAGTGAGGTACTTGTTGCACACGCAGTAGACATTTGAACCTGACCTACCATTCTTCGGTCCATATAACTGCATTAAGCTACTAAAGCCTAAGAAGATGCTGGCGTAGTAGAGCGATGGTTGCTACCCAAACTGTCTTGTTAGTAAGTTAACTGGTTGCCTGAAGATACATTCAACCGAAGTCTCATTTTTCAGGAAGGATGGTTGTCATAGCGCCATGGAGTTATTAGTACGCTGTATAACCACTAGGAAGGAGCTCACATGTCGGGCAGTGGCGCAATGACGAAATCGTCTGGTCTAACCAAGGTTCGATTTGTGCCCCTCACACTGAACGGTCATATGGGTTGCCGCCTGGAGTTCTGGATTTGCATCATGTATCCTTAGAAGTGTTTCTGAAGTGTGAAATCTCACTGCAGTATTGTGTGCACTATTTTAGAGTTGCAGTTTGTTCAGAATATCATGATGAGATGTTTGGTTGCCTATATCGCGCTACCGCATGTAGCACGGTTAGTGTCGAATCAAAGGAAGTTAAGGATAGAGTAACGCGGGCTCAGTGCGAAAATTGCCCATAAGTGTTAGGAGGAAGGTTGCAATTACTGCTTTGAGCTGTGTTCTATCCAATACTTGGAAAAGCGTCACACACATACCACTCGATTTGGCGGAAGATAGGACCGCCGTTCCAATAACGTTCTGCAGCAAGCTTTTCGAGTGCACCTACGGCAAACACATTCATCATCCAAAGTCTGCTGAAATGAGTTGCTAAAGGGCAAACGTCACGGTGTAAATTATGTCAACCATGCGCATTTCTCGAAATCGTGTGATTCCACTTCACCGTCTGTAAATCGGTTTCCTTTCCTTACTACAGCTACACTGAAGGATAATCTGGACCGTGTTAAATCCGAACGCGACTATTACCTGCTTGTGATAAACGAGAAAACAGAAGAGCTGTCATCGATCAAAGCGGAGTATCAGTTGCAGCTTAAAGAGGTGCGTTTACTATTTGGGTTGAAGAACCATATCGGTCCTATTATGCTTCGCAGTCACTGCATAGGCACTAGGTCTAATAAAGCAGACAACAAACTGTGTATCAGTACACAGACCAAACTGCTTATAATGCCATAAGTTAATTGGAGGCTTAAGTTTGGTAAGCTCGTCGCTTGGTGTGTCGGCTACCCTGTCCTCTGCACAGCAGTAACGTGTAAGTCAGGGGATAATGAGCTGCGCTATATCACATCTAGTAACGTATTCACGATGGTCGTTGCCGTCCCCCGTAGCTCAGTGGTCTCAAGCACGGACTGGCAACGGTCGAGTTGTGGGTTCAAGCCCTACTAGGGGTCCGATGGAATGCGCACTGCTGATGATTCCCGAAAGGATGAAACGCGCGTACGGTGCTTTTCCGGGCGTGTGACGGCTGTTTGAGTGAGCTTAGATGTGATGAATTTCTGCCTGTAGCATTCAACTCCCCCTACTACTCCTCTATAAACTGCTTCTCTATTGAGTTCGGCTTTTATAGCAACTAGTGTTACACTTTGTTAAAGGAGGTACCAATTTTTGCTACAGTTGGCTATCGTGTTTAGTATTGTCAAACCGATCATCGTTGGATAACGCCATAACGTCGATACAAAGGATAATACGTTGCAACCGTCCACATAATTTGATGGATATCTCAACCATAGTACACAAATTAAAATTTTGCAAAGTCCGTCACTATCACAACATAACCACCCTCCATATCAGCTGGGCGGAAAATGCAATTTACTGAGTGCAGCCTTGTGCTAGTTACACTGGCTGCTTTCTTAAGTGGATTATTCTGCCACGGGGTGTCAGCGTCATCCAAGTCTTCGATCACTAAGGAACAGTGAACAATGTACCAAAGCATTCATAAAATTTGAGAACCTCTTCGTTCAGACAGAAATGATTTCGCGGACAAGAGGATAACAAATGAGCCACGCGATGCTTCGGGCTTTAAGGTACGCTTTACCACACTCACTCGTAGTTCTGCAAGGATGGAAAATCATCTTAAGCACAGTAAAACGTTAAAACCATAAAGAGGAAATTAACTAGCCCAAGACACTAAAACTGTTTAACGAAAAGCCTCGTTAACAAATCTTCCAAACCTGTACTCCATAGAGATTGTACTACAAAGGCTTGGGTAATGGCTTTCCAAGGGTTTCAATGCGTCGCATCCTTTCTGGTTTAGCACTTGCATGAAACGCTGAGCGGCCACCCATAGCATACTTGTCGCTCAACCACAAACTAAAGGCATACCCGGTGGTCATGACAAAATGGGATCATTTTCCTTCAGACAAGACGTGGAGCCAAGCTGCTTATGCGGGTCGCGTTTGCTGATGAGACAAGCCCGAAACTAATACTGTTTCGGCTGAGTAGCCCGTGAAGTGGGCAAGGCACATTTCTCCAGACTTAGATCCAGATGACTCAGAGCATTCTAAGTCAACCATCATCGAGTTCAGCAGTGAGAAGGAACAAACCTACGCATTGCAAATTTAAGGGTATTTACAACGGGCGCTTAAATTCGGATAAATCGGTACCGTACTCTTCAGACACTCCTGGTACTTCCCACCTTGGCTTTCATGGAGTTTTTACAATCGTATGAACAAGCGTGCCGCTTTGTTACCTCAGACCGACCAGATGTAGTGAGGCTTGCACAGAGGTTGTCAAATGCTAAGGTAATGGCCCAGGAAGTCGAACTGTGTATTTACCCGTGCTTCTGACATGACAGGTTATCGAATAGTCACGGTGATGTTTTGCTCTACACCCAGCTTTTTCTGTGTGGGTTCCTTGTAAGAGCACACCGAAGAGACGATGACCTGTAGGAGCAACTGGGGTACTTGATCCACTTCAGGCGCGGACAACCGTATAATTTATCGTAGTGCTCTGAACCGTTGTTCGGATTGGCTGCTCCGAAATAGCATGCGTCACATATTCATGCATTGTTCCATTTGTCCCCGAATACGCTGGCCTATGCTTCAAGTTACCCCAGGATATTGTGAAGTCAGAGAAAAGTTCACGGAAATGGTACTTGAAACTGGGGAAATACAAAATATTTGCCAATTGACGCGCATAACACCGCGCTTAACTCTGTCGTGCTTAGATATGATAGTAACAAGCTGTGAGTAACATGTGCGTGTGGTTCAGAACCTGAAACTCCCTGACAGAAATCGATCACTCGGTTCTCATGGCAAATTTATAGCTCCAGCTACAATCCACTTGATCCAGCTTAAAACCACTGCAAAACTGACTCCAACGGTTTAACTCGATCCGTGAGACAAGTGGATTGGTCTTTGCCGTAACCAGCATCTGTAGAAGGCTGTTAGGCAGTTATACAAGGGATAGGGAAATTGCTGTGTTCTCGAATGTTACTCATGCATTGTCGGAAAGTTGGATTAAGCAAGCCACATTATATCGACGAGGAATATGGTATCTCGGCGATGGTGTGTGGCTCTCTCCAGTCCCTGCACTCCACGACTGACGGTTTTGTCTTTGTTTAGACTCATCAGGTAGAGATAGCCGAACTGGGAGTGGAACTCGGCGCATAGTGCTTGGCGGCTATCGCCATGATCACTAGGCCATTGAGCTCCGAGAGCAGTGTTTCACACTGCTCTTTCAAACTCCTTCTAGTACAATGCTTACTTTTCCAGCTATCACCGCCGGTTTCAGAATGCTACAGCTAAAACATCATTGGTAGCTTGATCTTTCATGGAATTTTCACCGCTGCATTGCACTGATCTATCGCAATGCAAAAGAACATAGTTTTCTACCTTTTGTTTATGGAAGCTGTGTAGCAGAATCTGAAGCACTCTGCATGAATAAGCACCATTATGCTAATGCTTAATTAGAAATAGTTTTATGAGTTTCCTTTTGTTGTGCCGGTTTTCGTAGAACAATTTGTATGTGTATACAATCTATCCAGCATACCACTGAATCAGCTGCAGCTTGAAGCTTTATCTCTCGGACCGAAATTTTGCTTCACTCAACCAAATTGCGGTCAAGTACATTTAGAACTCCAGTTTGAAAACCTAATGCACCAACTGACTGAATTAACACTCACGTCTTCTCTTGCCCGAGACTCTTTCAAGAGCACATTGGTGCTTAGCTGTCAATAGCACCTACGTTACGAGAACAGGTCGTCAACATCCTGACAAAGAACTATCGAGAGGCAATTAAAGAATTGCGACTGAATCCTGCTCTCATTTTTTCTAAGCCAGATAAAGGATCGGCATGGATGTTAATGGACAGATCCGAGTATGTTGCCAAACTTCACGTTATTTTGCATGACTCAAGCAAGTTCATGCGTGATGCAGTCCAGAAGGACAGAACCGCAGAAGATGAAACTATAATTACGAAAGTCTCGAAAGAATTAACAAAGCCGCATGTGATAAATGACTCTTTATTTGATCGATTAACTCTTGTTGGCTCTCAGCCATCCTGGCTTTATGGTTTACCTAAAGTACACAAGCAGCAAGTCCCCTTACGCCCTATAATTGATACATCGGCTTCCGCTTTCCACTCTGTTATAAGATGGCTTGTCAAATTGCTGAAACTCGTACGTAATGAACTATACATACACTAAGAGATACAATTGAATTTGTTGGAAAAGTTAGACTTGAAGTTAGACGGTAAAGTGATGCTGTCATTTGATGTGGAACCAATTTTCACCAACGTCCCGTTGCTAGAGACCGTCAACTTTCTTTGCGAATACATAACCGAAGCACAAATAAATGTAGGCATTCCAGTGCCGAAACTGAAGGAACTAATCCTGCGATACACCTTCAACAGACGGTTCCTGTTTGATGAAATTTATTATCGGCAGATTGACGGAAATGCTCTGGGTTCGCCCCTAGGGCCTCTTCTCGCCGACCTCTTCCTCGCAAAACTTAAACGTGATCTTATCCACCTTGTTACTGCTTCACTGGATTTTTACTGCAGGTATATGGATGGCACGTTCGTTCTCTGTGACTCGAGCACTGATTTAGTTGTTTTACTCGATCAACTCAACAGTGCACCCCCTCATTAAAGTTTACCAAACAAATCGAAAATGTAGGATAATTGTCGTTCCTGGAGGTACTACTGGTGAGACAGGAAGACGGCTCTTTTGAGAGAAGGGTCTTCCGGAAGGATTCTTGGGTTGGACAATACACGCACTTTCTGAGTTTCATGCCTCTGAGGTATAAACGTAACTTAGTCCGCTGCATGTATTACCGAGCGTCCACAAGCTGCAGCCCGGAGACGATGGCAGACGAGAAAGAACACATATTTATAACGCTGTTCTCAAACTGCTATCCCTCCCATTTTATCAAAAAGCACGCTGTTATTCATGAACGCAGTGAAGCTGTCATCACAGTTTTAAAAAGATGTGTTTCTCACGCTTCCGTTTAAGGGTGACAACGCTTTCTATCTACTGAATAGAAGACTTTCCGCTGCACTGAAAAGGACATACCCAGCCGCAAATCTACACATTCTTGCTGAGACTACTCGATTTATTACTCAGCGCCTTAAAGACATAGTACTGGTCAAGTCCGAACCGTACGTGGTATATCAATTTACTTGCACCTGTGGTGTTAAGTACCTAGGACATACTACCAAACGTCTGTCGACTAGAATAGCTGAACACTTTCCGGGTCTCTACGAAAAGACACTGCCGGAAGTATCAGAAGTTCCATCCTTGAACATCTGGTTCAAAGTGGACACGAAGTTCTGACCAATGAGGCTTTCAATGTTTTCTACACCAGGCTCATCCCGAGTTTACGTGGCTTGGGGTATGAAGACCGGCACGAGAAACTAGGACTCTACACTTTGTCCTACCGTCGAGTGCGAGTTGACGTCATTATGACCTACCGTATTCTACATCTCGGTGACTTCCCCATGCTGAGGCCAATGCTGCACTTACGAGGGCCATGCAGCACACACGGACACAGATACAAACTTGTCGTGCTGGATGTGAAGCGAGTTCCCCGCCCACTGTGCTTCGAACGGAGAGTGGTAAATATTTGGAACAGTTTTCCTGAACATGTGATGGAGGCACCATTTGTGCACCAGATCAAAACGTAGTTAGATGTATGTTTTACCACTATTCGATTTAGAGAACGATTGCACAATTACGACATGTCACATTTGTGAGTCCTGTAGTACCGTGTCAGATATTTTACATCTTACATGAGCACGATAACGATATTCACGGCTGACAATTTGTATAACCTTTTTTCACCATATTTCGGAAGAGCTGTACAGTTCATTTCTACTTGCTCTATAAAGCAGTATTTAGTACCAAAACGGTATCTTAAGGGTATTAAGACGCCTTAAGATTGCGGAATCGCTAGCGATCAGGTTAACACAACCATAACTTTGCAGGCAGAGGATGCTACTGCAATCTCTGACGCTACCGTGGCCGCATAGAACACTGATGAGACCGAAGGTGGCATCACTTCTCGGCTGACCCAATTTGCTTCGCGAAGTGGTCAGCGAACTGTCAAGTGGGGTCAAATAAGGTCAGCTTTCCTCGACAACACAAGCTTTACCAATTGGTCCGATCAATTTAACTTCCGACCGAATAGATTCAGACTCTCTCCTACTTTCGTCTGAGCTTTCGTTAGCTTATGCGTATCCAAGTTATCCTTGTAAACAAATAATCCTGATGCATCGCATTCGTTTCCGCTGGACCAAGCGTTGCTCGCGGATTTCAGTGGTATGGTGCTTATGGCGTCAACCATGAGCCACTAGGCTCTGAGTTCCAGTCCAACTCAGCTATCTCCAACTGATGAGTCCCAACCAGGACGAAATCGCGGTCTTGGGGTGTCAGTGTTGGGGTGAGCAACACTATAATGTTTCCAATCCTGATGTTAGTTACCGAAAAGTGATGTCATTGCAACCGTGTTTTTTTACATTCCTATGGGCTTTATCTACGAATTTTGTATGTTTCGGCGTGATAACATCAGCTTCATTGGTACCAAATGCTACTTTCACGGATTCTTCTCGCGTGTGTGAACATCACTCGTAGCAAACGTCGTCAATGTGAAACGGACAATAACACAATGCTTCTGGTACACTTTCATTTCAGTCACCTCCCCGGGGCACTACGAGAATAACAGAATCAACAAAAATGAAAAATAAACTTTGGATCCAAAAATCGCTACTTAAATTCCGGAACTTCAGGTAATAAATTAAAAAAATAATAAATCGCAAGCTGTACGCCGCAACGGCGCTTCGCTGCCATGCGACCACCACCAGTCGCTCGTGGGCTGAGTATACCGCGAGGACGTCCGCCCCTACGCAGATTCGAACCGGTGACCTTATGATTGTAAACCAGACGCGCATACCACTCAGCCACCGGCCGACTAACTCCAGGTAGCGGTCGTAGCCTCATCGGATTTCGGTACCCAAGAAGTGTCGGCCAAAGGAGTGATGAAATCAATAGTGCGTGATCTCTTCAATCACACACTTGCATCTGTTCTGCATCCAGCGCTCAAGAGCTTACAAACGCACATTGCGATTCGATGTATTCTGGTGGGCAGTACTCTGAATATTCAAGGGATATGTAGTATTATGAGGTTGCATTCTCAGAAATTGATAATTTAAGCACATTTCACCTGACGAATATGTTCACTTCGGGTCGGCTTAACCTGAGCAATGTTTACCAGATGATTGGTAACTACGGAAAAGATGCACATTTTCTTCTATCCATGGACTGTATCCAGCGAACTGTAGGTGACATCCAAATTGTTTAGTTCATTCGAACCAAACAACTTCAAACGATTTAAATTTCATTTGAATTGCTAGCCTTTTATCGCGTATTCGTGCTGTTGATTTTCTCGAACTCATAAGTATGCAGTTCTGTTATAAGAAACGAGATTTCTTGTGTTACCGCAGTAGTACACCAACATACTCAAGGCCACAGTGAAGCGGTTCACTGGGTCACATCAGATGCACGTATTGGTTACCCGGGCCTACAAAACACATATCGCCCTGTGTTAGTCTTTAAGAAACTATTGATGGAAAGCTTCAAGTGGCAGCACAATCTGCCGTTTGACATATGAGTCAAACAACGACGCTGTTGTAAAGCATTAATTGCAAAATTCGTCCCAGTCCGCTGACCAAGTAGTTGATTTTAAGGGCACTCAGAGACACATGTTGTATGAGCAGTAGGCGAAACCAGACCATGATACAAATCAGGTATGATGGAAAAAAGTATTTCACGAATGGTTGACATCCAATCGAACTCATTAGTGCTTTTTCTTTGTAAACTAACTTACTAGTTTTGATTTATTGAGTCATTCTAAGCAATAGATGAGCTCCTTTTGTTACGTATTCAACCGACGCACTTCCCTAAACACTACTCCGAACCCTACAGTATTCGCATACACAAATTGTATAGTTAAGCCCAAAGAGAAATGCAAGCGGCCTTGCAGCATCGTATCTTACCTTGACCCTGCGTCGCAGAAGCAAGAACCTACCGCACGTATTGCGTACCACATATAGCGCAAGTAAATGTAGGCATCTGATAAAGAATTAATCAAGAAGGCGTTTTAAGCTCTACCAATTAGGTATGGATGTGTACCAAAGCTAGAGTAATAATTAAATTCAACAAAATTGGTCTACTTCCTCCGTGAATATAACGCAAATGTGAAACGCACACTGATCATAAACTGCTTTCATGCAGAATGCGATTTTTATCAATTGTTCCAGGTGGCCAAGCTGGAACGCACCAAAGCACGCCTGGATGAGGTAAGTTTGTGACCTAGTTGTCAGCGCCGAGTACGCAACATGAATCGTGACCCACGAGAGTGGGTCAATAAGTAAGCTTCTATGTTACGCTACTCTTGAGCAACCCGTCGACCAATAAATATTGTAAACTTGGTTAATGTTCAAAGTAAAGTGAAGCTGCACTCTTTTCCTCCACCTATTTTAATAGCTTACTCAACAGATTCATCTTTTGAGGGTGGTACCAACAGATGCAACAAACAGCTGTTGTCACAGACAAGAAAACTCATCCATCCCATGTTGTCATTTGAGAAACCACTCCACTGTAAGCAAGCCATTGACGATGAACGCAGGTAAGTCGACTGTACCCAAATCAAATGTCGTCAGCTATCATCAGTTTAGCTAGGACCTGCGTTATTGGCCTTGGGTATATTTCATAGCTAAACTGCTACTTCCTTTGTAGATTTTTAGCCAGTTTGTTAATGGAACAGTGCGATACAATTAGCACACCGAAAACTACTTCATATATATATATATATATATATATATATATATATATATATATGGGGTGTAACCATGACACAGTGAACAATCTGGGCAGCCGCAGGACTGGGCTAACGCGATCCCGGACACATGCATACGAAGTTGCCACCTGCTGACTGGTGTGCCACCAAGACAGAGCCATGCTTTCAAGCACCCACCGATCACAATGTCGAAATATCAACTTGTAGGATTTATTGAGACTGAGAGTGAGATGTTAGGTTCGAAAATCTTCTGGCTAAATTCTGTCCATTTCTGTCTACGGGAACTTCTTTATGGAAAATGTGAACCCTTCTCCCGCAGCCCACTTACTGAATGAAAACTGCAATCAGAAATCCAGTGGCCTTCGATGCGCTGGCTGTACTCGAGGTGCGGAACCGTTTCAATGTATATATCTCCATCCTAATCTGGTCATTTCCGTGATGGCGTTTTACCGGTGTTCCTAGTATAGTTTACATGTTTTTCCAATGCAATAGAACCTCCTCAAGTTGACTACTCAAGGGATTGGACCAAAGTAATCAACATAGTGGCGGTCAGCATATGAAGTCCCTATACGAAATAACATAACTTACTTTCCCGTTGTGTGTAATACATTATGAAATTCATTTTCATAGCCACTCCGTCTCTAGTATGTTGACTGAGCTCGCAATTAACGGCAAAAATATTTTCCTTTCTTTCCAAGTACTCATGCTCATACCGTTGGATGTTGCTAATCGTTATCATACTATCAACAAAATGTTCTACAGCCTTTCTTTCGCTGTTATTTTCCAGAAAATGTAACCATAAAACTTCTCCTTCAGTGTCAAGTATTTGAGGTCTTTGCTTTGGGCTATAGCGCTGCGATGCGCGTACTAGCCGATCCCAAATTGTTTAAAGCACAGAGTGGAGCCACGATCCGGTGTGCTATCTACAGAACATTAATTAACTACAATAAAACCTTAATTGTTTGCGCTTTTAAGTTAAAGTTCAAATGAGGCGTAAACAATAGGAGAATTCCGGGCACGTTCAACTGTGAGAGCGCCATTGATCCAGCATAGATTTGTGCAAATCGATTTGTCATTCGGGTGTCAAATCGCTAAACACATCGCACAACGGACAACCGATCGATGCCCACGGGAACCCACATGTCCCAACTGTGCCGTTCACGTGAAGTAATTCCTTCATTATACGCCTTATCTAGATGTGGGAAACACCTCAGCTGTTGTGAGGAAACACATGAGAAAAGTAAAAAAAACACGCAACGGACGCAGATCAGTCGAGCCACCATTAACGGATGAACATCGTTCCGTAAAGCTAGCAGCCGACTATTATGCCTCAAAGCTATAATATTGTGTTAGAAATGAGATCGGTCTTGAATGGGGAGACTAAACGGAAGTGGGGAAGGAACAAAGCAACTTGCAACGGAAACGCCGTTTAGGTTGGCTCCCAGCCATATCAACAATTGTATCCAGCCCCAACCAATTAGCCGAGATGCTCCAATCGAGGCAAGCCTCGAACTGAGTGCCTTTTTTCTTGACCACTTCATCGGTTGGCCTCCCCTCTACTCCTTCCAACCACATCCCGGCGCACAGACAACGCACTACGCGGGAGTCAGTGTGCTGGAATGCTCAGTATGTGGCTCAACCGTCGTAGCCTGTTGCTTGAAATAACGGTGCTCAGCGATTCACTTTCTTTTCCTTGGCCATAAACAAGGCACCCCACACGCTCATTGCTCACGCGGTGTTCCAACCAGGTATGAGCTAAACTGCGATGGCACCGGTGGTCCAACTTAACAAGCTTCCTTGTGTCCGCCGATCTAATGGACCATGGTTTACAAACATACAGCATGGTCAAAAGTAAGGCTTCACCATACACTTCTCTCCTCAGACAGAAAGGGAGTGGTGTCGCTTCTGTGCCACAGGTGGCGAAGTTGAGCAACACCGCTTCTGGCATTTGCTGTAAGATTGCTGTCTTCGCTTACACAAAAGCTGCTACAACTGTCTAGGTTATTGAATTTCTGAACGACCTCTAGCTAGCCCCTCCAAAGGTCAGCTTCGGAGGCGGTCCCTGCCAATCCTGGAGGAAAACTTTGCAATTCGAAAGATTTAAGCAAAGCCAGAAACGGCCGACAGCCGGTGCTAATCTGTGCAGTGTAGTTTGACACGTCTGGAAGCTGTCACGTATAAGGGCAACGTCGTCAGCATGCTCCAAATCAAGAAGTCATTCACATGGGTGCAGCTCCACACCTAAGTAATGTCCAGCGAAAGCAAATTCCATGAATTCGTCAATAGCGAATTTGAAGTGGAAAGGTGACGGCGGATATCCCTGTCTTACACCGCTGGGGATATTGAAGGTCAGTGACAGCTTATCGTAAGCTCTCACACCGCCCGAGCTACGGGCATAAAACACTCGGATAATTTTTACATCTTTCTGGAACACACCTTTCCTTAGCAGACAGTCCTAAAGAACACATCGATCCACCGAATCAAAAGCACCTTTGATGTTGAAGAACACAGCAACAGTGGGCCGCCAATATATGGGACGGTACTCCAACATTTGATGTAAAAATGTGATCTATGCAGACACGACTGCGACGAAACTCGACTTGCTCCTCACCAACCTGGTTTTCACCGTTGCCAGTCAATCTGTGAAGGGTGACAGGCAAATAACTTGGAGACGATAGAGACCAGACTGATTTTGCTATGCTTGCCGCAATCCGAACACAAGCCTTCCTTGAAGATCTGGACAATAACAGAGCTGATCCAGTCGACTAGGGCCGCATCCTACTGCCACAGTTTTACTAATAACTCGTGTATGTCATCCACAAGATCAGGTCCCCCGAATTTGAAGAGGACTGAAGGAAGACAACTCATTCGCGCATCCTTACACAACTTCAGCAGTCCGAGGTTCCAACTTGTTTTCACTTTGAGCAAACGTGTGTGCAAATCGCTCACTTGTGCACTCGAGGTCTTTTCACTGTGACTCAGCGGCAATTTGCCGCACACCTTTGGATCTATGCTTATTCGTCGTGCTTTGAAAAGCTCCCCTTTTGATATTATTTTCTTGAGTACACTCCAGTGCATTCTACATTTACCCTGAATTCTAAATTCCGGGCAGTGCTTCGCCGATATCCAAGCGCCAAAAGTTGCGTAACTCCAACCATCGGAGACATTGTTTGGTCTCACTCGATAGATCAAACTGTCGCGCACACCAATGCATGATCGGTTTCCACACAAGTAGACCAGTATGATCGGCAATTGCGTATGGTTCTACGCCACCTTCGACTTATGGCTATGTGGTTAATTTGCGACTAACGCTGGGTTAATGATGGAGAATCCCAGGTGGTACAATGTCGCCTGGGGTGACGAAAGCTCGTACTGGAGTGGAAAATTTGGTGATCGTCACACAGACTGAGCAGTTTTTCTCCATTGTCAGAGCGAACTTCATCACATCCGTGTGGTCCCCTAAAGTGGCGTTCAGATGGAACCAGCCGACTAATGCGTGAGTTTGAAATCTCCTGCCATGATCAGGATGTCCGTTTTAGGTGCCCTTAGGAGCAGCTCATGATGACTTTGATAGAACTGGTCCTTGACTGCATCCGAGCTGCATTCAACGAGGGCATAAGCGGAGACCACAAAAAGAGCTCGCTTATCAGCTCGATGTCTACTAACGTCGCAGGAGCCACGGAGTCTAATAACACAGAGATGACTGTTGCTTGGAATCCAATCAAGCAGTGAGGCATGCGCTTTAGCACTGGGCGCAATCCCAACACCAGCTTGCCCAGAAGCGGCAGAATCAGCGTCATCAGAAGGGCAGATATGAAAACGGATGTGAGGGTGGATTGGTGACGCTAACTGATAGACTGTGTTGGGAGCCTGAATTTGCGTCTCAGTCAGACAACAGACATCAACTGCAAGGGTTTCCAAGGTGCGTACCAGTCTCGCGTGTTGTCCGATCTTCAGCAGAGTGAGCACACTTAGTGTTGCTAACTTGAACCAAGTTCAAGGTTGCAGAAGTGATGATGTAAGATTGTGTGGCTGGTGATTCACTGTGAAGCACTGTGTGACTGAGTTTACGGATGTTGATGAGGAGTTCACCGGTGGAGACAAACTTGTTCACCGTCGAGGAATCAGTTAATGAATTTGGTGAATAATACAGATGGAAGATAGGTAACTGGGTGGCATGTGTTTGTAAGGCTGGTGCACTAGCAGGAGCATAGAGCATCCTAAGCGCGAGAGCGTGAGTGTGTTTCCATGGTTTATCAGTAGGCGAGATACTACCCGGTTGCCTAGGCCGAAGTAGGGAGTTGTATTAGGGGACTCTACCCCGAGCCTTTGGCTAAATAGCTTATCCACAAGGCAGCGGATCGAATTCAGGGAATAGCGCCCATTGGCAGCCGGTGACTGATTTCTCGGTTCATACGCCTTTTGTTTGGTCAGGTACCAAACAGAGGCCTAATCCTCTCCGCAAATTCAGCAGCCAACTGTTGGGACACAATGCTCCACCAGAGGGTAGCAAGGGGCAACGACCTTATTTAGTGGAGCATCACATTCGCCACGTCACAGTGTTGTTAAACGGGCATGTGTGGCATTTTAAAGGGCGAACGCTTGCAAGGCGAGCACCCACCACGTCCTGGAACGCTGTCACCGAACCATTCGCTGGAATAGGAAAAAACCCGAACCATCCAGCTGGCACCAAGCGGAGATTGTTCGGCAGGCCAGCCACACGCACCTAAACGGACAAAGAACATGCTGTGTCGTCAAACATTTTCGAAGCCGTACAGTGCAGTGAATGAGGGTCGGGAGAATTTTGCGCACTGCCGGATCCCACTACATACACATTATTATTTGAACAAACGACCGTTCGGCAACCATGGCACAGTAAACTTTCGCATGGCCAACCTACAAAGATGGTTAACTTAATGCTGACTGTTATGGCCTAAGTTGGCAGCACACAAGTTGCAGAGGTAGTCAACATGCAGAGGTCTGGTTCCATACAGTTTACCTCGTGAACGTTCAGGCCACGAAAAAACGCTCAACTTAAAAAGAGGGCCGACCTCGGAGGTTCTGCTGTATTTATAGCCCCATTTGTGAACTTCGTTGAAATGGTGTTCTTAGCGCCGACTGCTTCCGCCGTTTTCATGTGGTGTTTTCTGTCTACGTTCAGACGAAAATACAGTATATTACGGAGTATAAGTCAACAATATAAGGTAGTGATATCAACCTTGTGTAAAATCGTAGGTTTGTATATTTGCCGACCTCCAAAAATTCCATCGGTAAGTGCTTTTCTGTTAGGTTTTTCTCATGTTATTGTGTGTGATGGTTTTTGATTCGGTATATTCCCGTATTTTACCGTCAATATCATCCGTCGCGAAAGTCAAATTTTCAACACAATAATAAGGTGTATAGTTATAGGCACTCTGGTTGCAGTGCTTTTTGGACACCGTACGAAAAAATGGGAAGCTCATAATCTCCGCCATTAGCGGATGGGGATAAGGAAAGGTGGGCCAGATGTGTGCAATGGATTTCTGGGTGGATTTGTATGAGTTTTACAAGTTACGTATATCCTTTGTATAAGCCGACATGACTCTACAGGAAAGGAAAATTGTCCGAAATGCACCGACTTATATTCGGTAATATACGGTAACCTGGGTTGTCACTCTGCTATGATAGCTGATCGAGGTGTACCTTCAAAATTCCGAACTGCTTCTATCGTTAAGTTTGGATGGATAGGTTGGGGTTTGTTATTATATCGACCTTCCTGGAAATGTTACTAATGATACTGGTCACTCTCTTGGGTAAGTTTTTTGACAAATCGCTCACCAAACAGTACGACATCGTCACCCATATCGCGAGGTAGTTAACTGTGCAACAATTGCCATCGTCGACCTTTACTGGATGGTTTACCGGTATCCGAATTGCGATACGCTGGCTTACCTGAGTTGTTGCGAATCTTATGAGGATTGATGCAGTAGCAGTCTAAAAATTTCCATGTTTTGCTGCGTACTACTTTAACTACAATTACAATGGAATTGTATACACTGGTGATCAGAGCCTAATGTCAGATTCATACTAGACTGTCCTGTCCTCGTCCGTTTCGCTTCCCACTGGTGTCACATCGTCTGCCAGTACATGGGATTATTGCACTGTTTCCCAATATACTTTCGCTCTCTCTTTGCCACTGTATCTCCTAACCGTTACCTGGTGTGCATCGAGGATTATCCAATAAACGGCAACTATATTGAAATGAAGCAACCACACGGTTAAACGGTCTCTGTATAACTTGAAAGGTCTCGACCTCGATGCGAAAGCACCAGTCACCTCATGGAAGTTTCGACTGGTAATCTCATCAGCTTGAGTTTCTTCGAAGCATGTTGGAATATTTGTACTATCGTGTACCGACCTGAGTTGTTCCCACTCAACTGGAGGACCGTGTTAAACTAGTCGCATGCTCAGCTTTTCTCATGGCGCACTTAGTGGCTATCGCAATTTCTTCCGAGGTTTAGTGGATCACACCTAACGTTCATTCTCACTGAGGTCACGCTTGTTCCTGTGGGTTTGCTCAGTATTGTTTCTACCGGTTTATTGACGACTGTTGCCTCAAAGTGGAGTCAGAGGATAAACAATGTGTGGGAATTACAACGAGGTTACGCTGAACAGTTCCATATTCGCAAATTTTGAGCCCTTGGTAGATATCAGCTACGATAATACTGCGCACCAGTTTCATCTAGGAGAACAGAATAGATGGTGTCCGATACTGTATGGACTAGGTTCTCAGACAAGTGCAACTGGGAGATAAGGAGCGATTGTTGTCGTAGCTCAAAGTTTGTTCGTATGTGCTGCCTATCGATAAACTCCGCTTCCATCCGTCAGTACATCCCTTTATAAAACCTTCTGAGGTGGCGGTTTCTATCAATGCTTTATGATCCGTTAGCTTCCGAGTCGATTGTTACGGACTATTTAATGTACAACATGCAGCTGAGTGTAGTATTCAACTACCGGTTTGGAAGTAAGAAATTCAGTAAAATGACGTCAGTTTCGAATACTCTCACGGTAAACTTCAAGTATCGTTTCCTATTTCGCGGTCCGATTGTGCAGCAAGGATACGAAAATCGCCAAAAACTATGAGTTAAGCCGTTTTATGTGTTGACTCACAGCTACTAACCCGGTTAAATTCACAGATTTTTTTAAACTCTGATCCCTTTGTAGCCAGCGACGTAGAGCAATCGACGATTATTTCCGAAGCTGCGAGGTGTGGGTTCAGTGTAAGTTGCTTGCAGACTTTGTTACTCATTTTTAACTGTTTAAGCATTTATACCAATATTGCAATGTAGGCGGGAGCAGAGGCGTAGCATAGGGGGTGGGGGACGGTCTGCCCCGGATGGCATGTGACAGGGGGCCGTAATTTTACTATGGATGATTGTTCACTATTATATGTAAATTCATTGAAATTACCTCAATGATTGAAGAGGTAGAAATGAAGTGATAATAATACTGGGACCGAAGATCAACTTGCTACTACAAACGTTGATCTCCGGGAAACAGTAAGTGATATTGAAAGCATGGATACAATGAGAAATCTTTTTAATGCTGATGCGGAAAATGCGCGCGAACTTGAAGAATTGGAAGTGCAACCACACTTTAGCAGGATAATAAGCACATCAACCGATTTTATGGATGTCTATCAGTGACCTGTTAAGATGGACCATGAAATTCGCACTATGCTTGTCCTACTCTAATTTATTGTCTTGATTCACGTCGATCATGAATTAAATAAGTGGTGCTACCTGGAACGAATACAAAGCTGAGGCTAAGAAGTTAACAACAAATTTGTTTTTTTTCGAGAGTTGCAAAAAAGCGAGCAAAGATTGCGCACACAAATGATGTATTCTCTTCTAAAATAGACCTTATTTTGTTTCAGCTGCAGGATGTTTTCAACTGGATAGTCTAGTTTTTCGACGGATAAGGGTTTCAGCAACTGGTGAAAACTAAATCCAAATGCATATGAACACGAATCTCGTAACTCGTGTGCTCAGTCGATCCCAAACAGTAAGGAGCTAGCAATTCGGCTAGTGGAAGGCAGGCAATTGTAGAACAGACGTGACTTGAAATTTTGGCCGGAATACTCGATATCGTCAGGTTTCCCGTCAAGCAAAACAGGGCAGTGTGTGATCTCCGAGACTCATCCAGGATGACAAAGTAGGACAGGAAAAATAGAGAGAATTTTTCAGCATTTGTACATTTGTTGGCCAAGTATGAGCTTGTTCTTCGTGAACATTTGGTGACTGTTTAGCTGGGAAGAAAAAATAGCACTTTTTGTCACTACAGGTACACAATGAATTTGTGAGCATTTTCTCAGAGCAAGTGAGAAAGAAAAGTATAGCTCGGGTCAAGTAAAACAAGTAGATTTGCTTCACTTGTGATAAGAATCCTGATGTAACACGCAAAAATCAGATGGGTGAAAATGAAGTGATTGTAAAGGGGTCGTCTCTCAGCTTCATTAAGGCCAGCTGCAAGAAGGCTGAGGAAATTTCTGGACAGCTTTGAGAGAACCGGAGAAGGATGGAACTCAGATTGATATCTGCGTGCAATGTATTTGACAATGCTCCTGTCATGGCAAGCAGAACATCTGCGAAGTCAACCCAAAGCCACATGTGTGCCATACACAAACCATTTCTTAAATCTGGATTGCGTACATCAAGCTTCTACGACCGTACATTCTGTTACATTTTTGATACAATGAACCGGCTATTCTCAATCTTTTCTCTTCTATATATTGCTGGCATGTCTTAATTCATGTGACCGGTATGAGTATCAAGTGGCTGTAAAACCTAGGTTGAGCAGGCGCTGTAAAGGTTGTGGTGAAGAAATACCTGGAACACGTCGCTTTTCTTAAACAGAATAAGGAGAAAATGCAACCACAAGATCAGATGCATCTTAAAAGCTCATTGCGCTCTTGTCGCCTCCGTTTATTTTATTTCTGAGCCTTTGGAGAACAGTGATCAACGATGCACAGGTATGGACAAACGCAAGTACTGGACCTACAGCAAAGTGCTGTCGCGCTTGCGGAGTTATTTGCCTTTTTTAAAATAGAGGGAAGATGGAACTAGATGAACCCAAAAACTACGCTGAGTAGAGGATAAGCATGGAGCATCGAATCCGCCCAAAGAAAGGAATGGACGGTGAAGCATAACTTGAAATATAGTTGGGATTTAATGCTGAGTTAAAACGGGAAATGCTATCTGTCGTAAGCATTTTGACTGATAAAATGCCATAGGTTTCAGAAAATACATGAGCTTGCAAACAAATATGATTTCCTTACACCGTCAAATATACTTTTTGCAAGCTATGGTTGTCCGCTTAACGAAGTTGAGGAAGATATATAACATGGGAATTCCGTGCCGAAAGCAGAATACGGCATTTTGTGAAAGCTTCAGGAAACGACAAAATTTGTGGACCTTCGGAACTTTTGAACTTCATACAGAAACATCACTTTGGGGAATCTACTACGCATCTTTCTTATCGAAGTATAAGCATTACAGGCTGTGAGAGCGCAGTCTTAAAACTCCAGCTTATAACGAACTAGCTTCAATCATCAAAGAACCAGACAATGCTCACGGATTGAGACTTCTCTCCATAGAAATGAAATTCGCTAATGGACTGAATTTTGTTGGTGTTGTTAATACTATTGCCTCAAGTAATGCACGAAAAATATATGTGTAAATTTTGCTTACGAGTATTGTAACAATACAAATAATATATTTATGATTGTACTTTAAATTTGATCGTTGTTGTTATGTGAATCCAAATATGTAAGGTCCGTACTTAATTGTGTAGGTTTACGGATATCCAACTGCCATGGAGGTGGCGGCAAAGTTGCGCCCACCCCGGGCGGAAAAAGTACTTACCACGCCACTGTATCGAGGCATAGATGGAGTCTCAGCAGGGATTTCACGGGCAAATAGAAAGGCGTGTAATTCATGTTCCCTCATTCTTGCTTGTAGTGCAGTTTTATTTATGCTGTCCAAGGTATTTTTGATGTCAAACGAGATGACTACGCACAGCGTGCTTCACGCTCCTCATTGTCACTCCTCGATCCAACTCCTTGATCCAGATGTTGCATCTTTTACTAGCCATCATGCGTCTTCTCAGCAAGGAAGGTCCAAAAAGTAATAGCTTGAGATTTTAATATTGCGAGTTAGACTGGTTGCACGTTATCCCACATTTGGTATCCAAACGGAATGTAAACGTCAAACATTTTATCCCCTCTTGTCTGTGCCTTATACCGGCAAAATCAGGAAACATAACGTTGGCGCAAATACTTTTACTCGTTGTATACAACACGGTACCGTTGTTAATAACAGTCACTCCAAGCACGTTTCTTGCACCCAGCACAGCAAGTGCAGATTCTGGTTTACTGAATAAGATGCATTTCCGGACTAGGCTGTGCTATGTAGCTTGTGAACTACTGGGATGAAAACCTTAACAAAATTACAACTAAAATCCTGCTACTTACCAGTAATATAAAATAAATAGCCTCTCCTAGTTTCAAAATGCAACAATGTGCCTGTAACACTTCGGAGTCGGCGGGGGCAAGCACAGCTGAAAGCAAATTGGTCGAATATTGTACACTCTGTATATAATGTCTATAATGGGTAGGCAGATGTTTTCGCATTTTGGTCGTAAGTCTGGAACATAGTCCCCGTCCGCGGTGGAGGTGAACGTCACGAGTACAGAGCGCTAAATGGGGAAATTAGTTGGGGTCTTTCTCGAAATGGCTGTACGGTGGTTCGTGTACATCTGTGTCGTTTACATCGCGATAATCAGCAATAAATCCATTCTCTTTCTCAAGCAGCATAGAGTAAGCGCCTTGTTAACTGATACTCTGAATTTTTTCGAAAGGGCTGCAACCGTACTTCGGACCAGCGTCATGACAATCTTGGAGAACCCATAGCACAAGAACGAAGTGCAATGTCACTACGGAAACCCGACGGTATGTTAAGATGAATGATGCTTTTTGATAGTAACTTCCTGACCAAACTTTAAGGATGACGTTGATCACTAAGTCATCGATATGGGCCTGGTTGAGCTGAATCTGGGTGGTTAGACTGCCAGACACTGAACTAAGAACCATACGATAAGCGACAACTCACTTTTTTGACTCATTTATTACGGCTTTTTTGATAGCGATGGGCAGTATGTCTCCGTGTAGTCCCGCTTCCGAGTTTTTCCATAAGTCTTGAGTTGAGCTATTCCATACATAACTATAGCTCTTGCCTACCTGATTCACCCTTTGAGCCATAGTTGATCCGATGAAGGAAATGACAGTGGGCATTCCCTCTCTCTTTAGACGGATTCTGCGTTCTGGTAACGCGGTAGGTCGGATTGTTGTCTCATCGCATTTGATTTGCGTGTGAAAACCGGTTATCACTGGTATGAAGTGCGATACAATCCGCGATTTAGAAGGGAATGAATGTCGGTCTAGTAGATCAACAGCCATCTCCGTTGAATGGATTAAAATTCAAGGCGAAAGAAGGAAGAATGGCAAACGCACGCATTTCGTCCCTTATTATCAATTCTACTAGCGTCTATCGGTGGATAAAAGACCTAGCACTAGTTGCACCTGATGTGGATCCCTGACTTTCGGTTTACGCATGAGCGACCAGTGGTGCAGTGTGTAATCGAAGGCTATGAGGCCATGCTGTTTAAGGTGGAAACGCCGCCAACTCCTTAGCACCTCCTTCCTAGCACCGTTCATCTTATCAGGTGATGAGGTACAGCTTATTTATCGCCTAATGAGAACAATGGACCCGTTAGATATGGTAGAAATGAAGAAATCCCAGTTCATAAATCAATGGAATTGTCGTCCGATAACGCTGACTGTGGGTGTGATCGATAAAGACTGCTTAACATTCAACGGACCTATACGTTGCACTCAAAATACACAACCCACCTACAAACCCGCATCGCGTTTCTGCTGGTAGATGGAGCAGATTGACCAAGTGTCATGAGTCCTATATGATACATGGTTGCTCTATTGCAATGGAACGTAACGGTATATGTAAAAATGTGTAAAATAAAATCCGTCTGTTGGTCAAGCGGTTTAGCGGTGCATTCGCACCTCAGGAATGGTGGTAATGCTGCAAAAACACTAGTACAAAAACAACGCAACTATATATATATATATATATATATATATAATGTCAAAGTAAATCTGTTCATGATTATCAGCGATTAACTAGGGCTGCTTGCCTACTTGTTGATATTCCGAGCTTGTTCACCTTGCTGAATAGCTCGGGATCAAGCCCTACAACAACGTAAAGAGGTTAACGGCATCATTTTACTAATTTGCAACCGATCATTTGCTTAATAAAATCAAGTTAATCCTATAACCCGCTTATGTTTTGTCTGTGAAGTGTACTTCACTTTTTCTTATGGAAATTACTCATGCAATAGAAACCGTTGGAAGTCAGCTTATTCTAGGGAAGTCAGTGTTAGGGAAGGATCAAAGAAATGTAAATGCAAAAGTTGTTTCGAGTTCCTTTACTGATATCCTTCCTGGAAAGTTGACCGATTTAATTTGAGCCGCAATGTTATTTTTCCAGGCTTAATTTATAAAGTTTCAGAATAAACGATTTGTCCGGTTACTCGTACGCGTGACTCTTCAGTCAGTTGACATAGGGTGTGACCCCGATAGATACACCAGACTTTTGGCTTGGTGAACTAGAGTACAATGTGACCAGCTCTATTGTCAATCGCTTATGTTCGAACACTCCACACTCGATCCGACCAACACATATTTGCCTCAAATGTACCTGGTTTCATTTTCTGAGACTTGCGTCTTCGCTGCAGAGTCATTGCGGATCACAGAGCACTCGGCCACCGGTTCAACTTCCTCAAAAACGCTGCTGCAGCTGCAACATCGGTTGGCCGAATTGGAGAAGAAAATGGTTCAAGCAGCGGAGGAAAAGGCAAGTCTGCGAATAAGAAACAATCAAATGGCTGATTTGCTGTTCCGGATGACACAGCACAACCAAAAGCTTATACGTGTGAGCCGCGTATCATTTTCCACTAGCTCGTGATCGATGTTTCCGCCTATTCTTACTTTTAAGCGGACCTTGCATTCCACACCGTTACGCTTTTTGGGTTGATCATTGATATAACCGCGTAGGTAGCCGATGAATGTTCATGAGGATGAACTTCAACAAAGCAATACAGCACTTTTAGTTAGTTAGATCCTGCCAGTTCCCTTGGATTCACCTTCACAAGCAGCCATAAAATTTCCGAAGCCGGTAAAAGCAGTCAAGCGCCATCATAGTTTATGCATCGGTATGACCAGTGTGGATATACTACGGAGACCGGCTCATATAAATCCATCGGTTAGGGTCAAACTGCAAAATGCTGCAATGTGACCGGTACCATTGCACCGCTCATTTCCCCGCTGCTTTCCGCTGAATACAGTAGGAGGCTGGCCTTACTTTACTTCCGATGCAGGTAAGGTATAACTCATTTTTGGCTAGGATCAGTCACTATTCTCCAGTAACACGTCCTGCATATTCACTTTGTTTCGTTTATTGAATTGGCAACGTCTATGTGTTACGCGTTTTGTATGCATGCCAACCAACTGCCCCAAGCGTGTATTCATTGTTCTTGGTTGTTTGAAGCCCTAGGGTGGCAACTCGTGCGAATGACGAAGGTAGGTAGCTAGAAACGTGGATCAGGTAAATTTTACAGCTGCCTAGATACATATTGCCTCTGGCTCGCTTACATCGGGGCTGACTCGCGACAAAAGTACGCTCTGACACGCAGTCACGCGTCACAATCTCGTCACTTTTTCTTTCGAATATTAATCTCCTTTTCAGTCAAGTTCCCTTGCACTGCATCTTGGCCTGTTAATGGTAATGTTTACTCCGGATAATTGCGGCCTGTGTTTCCAATGATGACAAGGTACCTTCTTACAGTTATCTTTGCCGTGTGTGTGGTTCGTTGTAGCTTAGCTGATCGACATGGCTCAGCCATGCTTGCTTGATTGGATCAGGATTCAAATTTGTATGCGGTAGAACCTGTCGCTTGGTCTCAATCAACAAACAGCAGTACATCAGCCATTTGAACTGATGTTTCGTTGCCATGCAAGCATGATGATCTAAGGAACAAAGAATAGTAAGAAGGAGAGAAGGGGGACTTACAGGAAAACCTTAATGCCCTAAGCAAACATTCAGGGTCAAGGCGCCTACATCTTGTGTCAGCAATATACCGTCAAAAACAGCTGGCTGTTGTGCAAAGATAGGGCGGCATCCGCGAGACACCTTCCTTGCAGGTTTCACTGCCACGCGTCATGGTCAGTCATTACATCGCAGCTAACTCAGCATCAAACGCACTTTGAACAGACACTCCGACTATGAGAAGGCAGCAGACGCGCCGATGGTGGTTGCGAGACAAGCACAAGGCGAGTCACATGGACTCCAGCCCGGAAGGCGAGACGGACCAACGGCACCCAGTTTGGTCATCAGTGACTGGATTTCACGCTGCCAAGTCAACTTCTGTCCACCACGAGTTTTGCAGCACCCTACATCTGGCAGACTAAGTTAGGCCCTCCTAGGTAAGCGGTGACCAGGCCTACGTAACACTTGCCCAAGCCAACGCAACTTATTCAGTGTTATCTGTTGTTCTAGGGACCTTGCACGATTATCACCACCTAGTACTCGCCTGCGCACATCATCGTTGCGGACACGCTGGTGCTATCCGACACCAGCAATGCTAGGTAGAAAACAATGATCAAAGACTTGAAGGCGCCTCAGCTCATCAGACCGAAGGGGGCAAGTCTCACTACCATAGAGCAGGACGGCCGTCACTGTGGCCTTGTATACATGGCCTTTTAGAGGGAGAGAAACCCTTCTGTCGCCAAAGATGCCGCGGGCTCAAAAAGGCCGCTTGGTCTAAGCAGATTTCGGAAAACAGCTCATACTTCGTCTTTGACTATAAGTGGGCTACATGGCAGTGGATCTCATAATACCTGTGTTCAGTGCTGTGACTGACATTTGGAAATCGAAAGTACTTGAAACGGTGCACAAAAATAACTTAAAACACGCTGTCCACACCTTCGAGGGTCCACATTTGCCCTCCGTTTGTCGATGTTCGGGTCTGCCATCTCCATCCTCGCAGGTGATTTCTTTTCATCGCATCCACAAGAGACCAGTGAAATCCCAAGTGGTGAGGAGAACGCACACGGCTGTCTTCGGATTTTGATCGATTGGCAAACGCGTAAGCTCTAGGTGATTGGGCGGGGTTCACCGGCTCGTGTAGGGACCATTCGCTCGATTTAGCAGCCATCATCACATCCCAACTGCACAGGGAAATAGCGGATCGATTGTTGGTGACCGTCATAACCAACGGCAGCATAAAATTCCACAATAGGTAGACCGTTGTTAGCGTTGACGGTATCCGGAATACACAAACCAGTTGCAGACGCCCGCATCACTCAATCATTCATCCATGACACTGCCACAAACAGTGCAAGTGTGGACCCGATCCATTGGTTGGTTGTCTGTGCAACTCGTGAGCCAAGTAGCCGTGGTGACCTCACTGGCCCCACAAATGCACATGGCTCTCAGTCACAACACCGTCAAGACTATCTCGGATAGCGCAGAATTCTGATTAGAGTGAGACCAGCGTATCTGTGCACCATAACCTATTCGATTTTCGTGAGACTTTCATGCAGTGTTCGTTCGTTGTGTGCACCACTGTAACGTCGGCGATTGACCTTGGCGCACATGGTAACGGGACTCAGTTCCGAAGCGTGTGCTTTCAAGCGCAGTAACTGTACTCAAGTGCTACATGTATAGGTGCTAACTCGCCGTCATCCTCACCAGCAACACTAGAGCCGCGAGTGTCCGTCGCCACATACCCTGATTCGACCAACTGCAGTGGGTACCACGAGAAGATAACTAGATTTGGCGAGATATACGCTTGTTGCTGTGACGCGTATTCCCACTAGCTAAAGGCACCAAAAGCGGTACAAACTGGAGGAAAACGAAAATCGCCAGAGACGCCGCAGGCCGAGTTCCTTAGAGGTAACTGGAAGTGCTCCAAAAATGTTTGGTCTGCTGAACTCAAGCAAACGTAGTCAAGGTTGCAACAGGTAAACTGCTTAATTCTCCTAGGCGTACACAATGATACTAAAATGTTGGGACAGTTTATACCATGCGCCTCAGTCAGACGGGTAAAGCTCCAGGCTATTGTAGCACCTATTACGGATACACCGCTTTCACACAACAGTTGATTAATTCAGGCGAGCCAACAAGGGAATTGTAGCCAGTACGAATTGTAAGCAGGTGATCAATCAAGATTAAGATGCTGGCACCTCTCTCGCACCGCACAGTCATAAACTCTGGCTACCGTTTGAGTGTACTGCAACATAAATAAGCTGGTTAGCCTGTGGACTACCATATCCATCTTTGTAACCAAATTTACCAAACTAGCCACGCAGTACCAAATAGCACTAAAGTGTACAGCCCTGCCGGTAGAGTCGGCAAATGCGCTATTCGTGTCTGTTACGTGCCACATCCGGTAATGTCTCAGACCAAGCACAAGGAGAGGCACGTGGAGTAACATCGCTCGGTTAGGAAACGAAAACCATTATTTCTGGCAGTTAGTTTAACAAATGTCTTTTGTGGGACAGTAAGCATCTGATCCAGAAAGCGTAATCAGAACGTCTTCGATAACTCTTGACAAGACATACACAACACGTAAAGTAACAAAACCAAGACATACTACCAGTGGTATAGCAACTACTTTTACCGCCAGGGACGGTGATCAAATTTTTACACTGACTGAGGGCACTATAGCCGCCTGAAGGTCACACAGTCGGATCAGGGTAAAGTGCACATTAGCTTTCGGTGTAATGGATGATCCTTTGAGGCACTAAGTGTGATAAAAGTGATCACTATGGGACAAGTAAGGGGATCGATGGGAAGAAAAGGTTTGCTCGGGTGTGACACATGGTGCAAAGGTGTTGTTGGTCATACATTAGCATTGACACATTCAACTCTCAGCTTATCTGGTAATTTCGCCCTCTATATTTAATGTCGAACAATCAACCGTGCTAGAAATGCCGTCCCTGTCACATCCCGCCCGAGACGCACCGCCCCCTCCCCCTTTCCATGCCACCGCATTCAGCCTTACGGCAGTGTGGTGATAGCTGGTCGTCTGGGCGAAGGTGACCGAGGCGGCGTAGACACACAGGGGGCCAATCAATCGCCGCCGACGCTAGCTGGACAAGGTTGTGCAAGTCGGAGAGATGAATTGTATCGGTCCAGTGTGAACGAAGCACAGCACGGTCACAAGCAAAAGCCAAGTGGATCGGCTCGTATATCCACGTGCGCATCGACGACCCCACGCGGCAACATATGCGATGTCAAGCGGTCCAAATAACAAACCACCGTGATGGGTAGCGAGCAGAGAGTACTAACCAGGCACCGCCCACGCATGCTAGATGTACAGTTGGAGAAACGACGTAGTCAGGCATGAGTCAAGGTGAACGCGGCGGTACACATAACAGCAATGGATTGAACTGAACGAGGTGGATGAACAGCATCCACGAGCACTAAACATGGACAGACCACAGAATACTGAAATGGATGGTGGACAGTGGGAGTCATTCGTTGTTAGATAGCGCCTCTAAGTTTGGTGCGGTATAAATGTCGCTCCGCCTTACTAATAACAGCTTTTAATCGCTTCTCAGAATTTGTGTTGGCTTGCCGGACTACCTTCTCATGGTGTCAGCCAGACGGTTCCGGTTTATCCCGCTCCAGCAGTGTCCCGGGACGTGATGGATTTTCCTCTGGCAAGCGTTTTCCCCATAATTAGGCAACCTAATTCTTTAAAATCCCTGCGGTACGGTGAATGTGACACGTCACTACCTAGAGCCTCCGCTCCGTACTTTACTGCTATAAAGCACCATTCCAGCGGATGTTGTTTGGTAACTCACCAAAGGAAAAAGTGTATGAATTGCTAAATCAGACATCGGCTTCCAATGAGTGCAATTCTTTGACACTACACTACTCGACCAAATACTAGGATTGGT